GTGTCCACGTAGACTGCCCTTTGCCCAGATCCAGCCAGCATACCGTTCCCTCAGGTGCAGGCCATCATTGTAACAAGCCCAGCATCCATTTGTGATGATTCATTAGCCTGTCATTCTTCCTACTGCTGGACTGTAGCCATTTAAAGCCAGCAAACACATATTTTTCAAGCTCCTTCTATAAGCCAGGTCCTGGGCTAAGTGCAGGTCATAAAATGCTGGTCTGTTCCCTACCACCATGGAGCCCATAGTAACAGGATGCAAAAGAAAAAAACCTGACTTTTAGAGCCGAACCATTACTTCCCTTTAGCTGTGGGGCTAGGGGCAAATACTTTAACTCAGCTAAGCCTCCGTTACTTAAAAAAAAAGAACAAAACTGCCAGGCGCGCCTGGGTGGCTCAGTCCATTAGGTGTCCGACTCTTGATTTCAGCTCAGGTGAGGATCTCAGGGTCCTGAGATGGAGTCCCGCATTGGGCTCCATGCCCAGCAGGGAGTCTGCTGGAGGATTTCTCTCTCTCTCTAAATAAATAAATCTTAAAACAAAAAAATAAAACTGCAACTATAATACCACTGCTCAGAGTGTTCTGGGACACCCTGCAAATCACGCATCACTCAGCGCTCCCTTTCCTTTGGCTATTTAATGAAGATTGGATACTTCTTAGCACCACGGAGACAAAAACCCTCAGACTAATCCAATTTCATGAGCTGGTCCCTCTGAGGACTGTCAAGGAAGGGAGTTGATCAGCAGGGCCGAGTCTTGCCTTATCTTGCTGCCATGTAGCCAGTTACACAGGGCGAGATAGTTCCAGAGTCCACCAAAGGGGTGGACATCCAGTTCTTTACCTCCAAAGGAGTGATCTCTTCTACTTCCCACCTTCTGAAGGTTTATTTAAAACACACACAGACACGCATGCCACATAGACATATGCATAATGTACACACATTCATACACACACAACACACATATACACACATGCACATATACACATGCATACACATACATACAAACACACATATATACATGCATATACATATGCACAGGCATGCGCACATATATACACATACATATACATACACACAAACACGCACACATATACAGATACATATATACATATACGTACATGCACATATACATACACATGCACACGTATACACACACAAACACATATATGCAGACACATATACACACATATACATACACACATGCACACATATATACACATGGACACACACACAAATCTGAACACCTGGAAGGCAGAAGAGAAGGGGAGAAAAGAGCTAAAATACATAGAAATGGCCCCTGAACCCATAGATGATATTGAATGAATTTCCCAACTTCTATGTAGCTTTCCTATTCTTTTTTTTCTTTTAAGATTTTATTTATTTATTTGAGAGAGAGAGAGCACAAGCAGGGGGAGCTGCAGGCAGAGGGAGAGGGAGAAGCAGACTCCCCTCTGAGCAGGAAGCTGGACATGGGGCTCGATCCCAGGACCCTGAGATCATGACCTAAGCCGAAGGCAGACACTCAACCGACAGAGCCACCCAGGCACCCCAAGCTTTCTTATTCTCAACCCCATGCTCTGTGAGCTGGGATTTTCTCTCTGGTTCAGCCAAGAGCCTGCTGGGGTTCCTGGGCTCCCTAGAACTCCCAGCCCAGGACTTCTCAGCTTCCAGAGGTGGCCTGAGGTGACTGGTGCATGCTGAGCACATCCTAACTTGAACCATTTGCATTGTTCACTTTTGAAGAATGAATTACATGTAAGAGAGGGAATGGTGGAAGAGTCTGATCCAACTTTGCAGCTAGAGTCAAGAGATGCTGAGCCTGGGTTTTACCTACCGGAGGAGTTCAAGTGAGAAATAACAAAAGTAGAATTTAGTCTGACAGTTCCCACTAAGGACCGTTTCAGTACAGATACTAGTATAAGGACACTACAAAGCCAATGTTTTTATCGATTTTACAATGCAGAAGAGTGATGAAGTAACCTGCCTGTACAGCAAATAAATTGTAGGACGAGGACTTTAAAACTAGGTCTTCCAGAATCTCAAAGCCACTCCTCTCCACTACTCTAATGATCATTTCTAGCCGTGGTCCAAAAGGGAGAGACAAGAGGCAAGCCAAGTTCTAGGACAAAGACACGGCCAGAGACCAGGTACGGGATGGAAGGGAGAGCCAAGAGTTCAGAGCTGAGCAGAACAGGGATGGGGGAAAGATGCAAATGGGGGACCATCTAGAGGGACCTAGCAATTGCCATGAACATCCTCAATGTGCCCGAGACTGCCTTGCCTGCAGTCAGTGTGTGGGGTGTGGGGCTGATCAAGCAGGTGAAGTGGTACAGCTGAGACTCCCCGTGTTCCCTGGCAGCTGGTGAGTTGGAGGCAGGGGGAGTGAAAGGTAAACCCACCACGGGGGCTCAGACCACACATAAAGGAAGGGCCACAGAGCTGGGGGTTTGTGCAGAGCCCCAGAGGAGCATCTCAGGTTTTCAAGGTGGTCCTGGGCTTTGGAGTTGGACAGACCTGGCTCCAGGCCCCTCCCCTACTATTTGCCAGCCGGGTGACCTTGGGCAGCTACTTAATTTTCCCAAGTCTGTTTTCCCATCTTTGCGATGGAAACAATAATAGTACCTGCCTTCAAGCCTTGTCAGAATTCAATCAGCTAATCCATGTAAAGCTCTTGGCTTAGTCCCTGGAACATAGTAAGTGCTCAGTAAATGTTGGCCTTTTCTGTTAGTCCCAGGTTCCTAAGGCATGAACAGAGAAAACACATATCTCCTTGAAGGCAGCGGAGTGTATTAGCTGACCTCTTATCACCTTGAATCTTTGACTGCCAAGGACATAGACTTTTTTCAGACTTCTCTCACTTCCCACCACTTTTTTTTTTTTAAATCCTATTTCTGTACCATCAGGAGTAACCTTTGGATGCCTCGTTACACTTAGCCATCGAGCTGTGCCTCTATCCTTGGCAGAGAAAGAGTGTTCCACTCCAAACATAACCAGATCTTTTGGTGTTGAGAACCAGGCTGACTTGGTCCACTTCCCAGCCTTGCCCCTTTTTGACTAAATAGCCTGGGGCAAGTTAATCTGTGCTTCAGAGTTTCAGTGTTAGTCATCTGTGACATCTGAGTAGTAAAGCCCACTTTGCAGATAGGTTGTAAAGGAAACATGTCAACCCTTGGTGTTGTCACTGTATGGGTTACGGGGCTCCCCTTCTGATGGGAACACGCTTAGAGGGAGATTCCATCACCTCTGGGACTTGGGCTTCTCTGAAGACTCCAGACCCTTCCCCAGCCTGGCAGCTTTTTGCTGGCCCCTCCTCAGCATAGAAAACCACCCGTAATCTCTGCGAGGGGCTCCCCACTCCCCAGCGTTACCTCACCTCCATCCCCAAATCCCAGCATCTGTTGCCCAGACAGCTGCCACGCTGTGCCCGAGTCTCTCCCTGGGTTCATTTGATAGGTCCCACTTTGTGTTCGAAGAAAAGCCGGTATCGGTGCCGGGCCCCAGGGAGGCAGATCTTGCGCCTGCCATTTGCCAGTCATGTTCTGTCTCTCTCATCATGCCCTGGGGGTCCCAGGTGATCCCATTACAGAGTATCTCACCAGACAGCTGCCACTGGGACCCTGTGGAGGGATGGACAGGGACCAGGAGCCCACCCTAAGCACACTCTGCAATTCTGTTGAAAGGTTGTAGCCATGTCTACCTTTTCTTGATAAAGGTAATACATTCCTTATAACAACAGCTAAATGCTGCAGACCTTACAGTGCAGAGAGAAGGAGGGTCCTTCCTATTTAGTGAGCTCTTCCTCTGTTCGAGGCACTGTCGAGGGATTTTACTCGTGTTAACACCCTCCTACTCGTGCAAGGAAGGCCTTATTATGACCCTTCTTTTATAGATGAGAAACCAGAGTTGCCTGGGCACCACTGCTAATCCTCACAACCACTGGAATTTTTATCTGTGTCTAATCCTCCCAACTGTTGGAATTTTTATTTACATATGGAAGAGCTGAAGCTCCCAGAGGTTAAATCTCTCGGCCATGGTCATACAGCTGGATAAGTTGCAGAGCAGGAATTCAAAGTCTGTTTAACTTACAACATGTTACCACTTAAGGTGCCCCCTCTGGCCCCATAACCCACTCTTACCTTCCTCGAGGAGATGAAGTGGGGATAAGTGCAATGTCCACTGTCTGTGGAGGTTGTTGCATTTGCCCACCCTGGAAACAGTGGATCTCTGGAGGAATTTGGATCAGAATTTGCACACGGGCAGCCTGTATGCCACATTAAGCTAGAAAGATGTCTTGTTTTGACCACTGGTATTTTTTAAAACTTTAGATTCATCGCTCATGTTTAAAAAATGTAGCAAGTTCACATAGAACTCCAGATTCCTGAATTATCTTGAAAAATCAGAAGTTCTAAGAGCCCTGGGCCTCTGTCCCGTCGGGCCACTGTTGGCTGGAGTTTTGCCACCACTACTCCCTTTGAGGAGAAGGTGCTTTCCGATTTGCTGCAGTCCCCGCGGCCCCCTGTTACTCTGTCAGGGAGCACCCGTCTCCCTCTAGTTCTCTTAGATTAGATGTAAGAGGAAAATGAACCTTCTTGTGCTCTATAAAGGGGAGGGTGGGGAGCAAGAAGGGAGAACACACATTTCTATGTAAAAATCAATATTTAATATTTATATATAAATAAAAGCAAATATTTATATGTAAATAAAACCAAATACATATGAATATATATGCATATATATATAACCAAAGAAACAAACCTGGCCTTCTTCATTAATTTTTTTGGTCTCTTCCTGGTCATTGTTGGTATTTAAACATAACAGCATCATTAGCCACTTTTTTTAGGCGTGTCTGATGCAGCTGCCCACGCAGAGCCAGGCATCTGCAGGCTGGCCTGGAGGCTCGCGTGCAGGACGGTTCTCCAGCCTCGCACGTGCGCTCCCGAGCTTCTGGAGCTTTCCCATCACGGCTTTGTTCTCTCTCTTCTTTTTTTTACTTCTTTAGGTGTTCCCTTCCCAAAGAACTTCCTTCAGATCTGCAAGAAGATCCTGTGCCGCCTTTTCCGCGTCTTCGTCCACGTCTACATCCACCACTTTGACCGGGTCATTGTGATGGGTGCGGAGGCCCACGTCAACACCTGCTACAAGCACTTCTATTACTTCGTCACAGAGATGAACCTCATCGACCGCAAGGAGCTAGAGCCTTTGGTGAGTGTCGCTGAGCAGGGCTGCCACCCAAGCGGCCCCCAGGAGCTCAGCCATTGGTCACAGCACACTGTCAGGCCCACGCAAAGGGCTCACTCGTGGGGGGCCGTTAGCCAGGAGGGAGAGGTGGGCGTAAGGGTCAGAAGACGCCAGGATGTCCACTGCCATCACCACATAGGGTCTTACATTTCTCTCCGAGCGGTGGCAAAATGTAGTGGGATCGTAATGGTTTGGGCCAGAGGGAGTAGCTTTCGTTCTCAGCTCCAAAACCAGCCACCGATTTACATAATCCCTTAAATGAGCATCTTTGACCTCTTACATCATCTGTTTAAAGATAATGAGAAACACTCTTTCACTCGGGAACCATATCTTTGGCACCCACTGTGTGTCCGCTGCTGGGCATGCAAAGTTAAGCAAAACTGCCTTGGAGTAGCTTTGACTCCAGAGCTAGAGACAGAAGTAAGCCCCAGATGAGAAGACAGTATCTCAGGGACTTTGCTTTTCGTACTGGATCTCCTGTGATGCAGTTTTAATGGGATATATTTAAAATCCAGAACATTGGATTTAAAAAAACTTCACCATGATTGTTTAGGTGAATGGGGGCTCCTTGTATTTGCTCCATAAGGTGTTTTTACAGTTGGACTCAATCTGTGCTCTAGAAGCCAAGGAACCTTAAAACTCCCAGCATCTTTTGTAACATGTAGTGGCTTAATGTGGATGTCCTCATCACAGCTGTTTCTAGTCGGCTCTACTGAGTACTTTCTTAACCAGTATAATACAGTGCTTTATACTAAAATCATTCTTTTTTCTTGGAACACTAAAAGTGGCAGTTTTGCTAAATATAACTGACAGGGCAACTAACTTTCATCCAAGTCCATTTGAATAATGAGTAAAGCAGAGGCCAGGCTGTGGTCTTTTGCTAGTCCGTCTTCCTTTCTCTTTATGTATGTGTTTTTTAAATCGAGGTTTTATTGTTACTTATGTATGGTGAGGCCAACAGATCAGGAAAACAATTGCCATTGAAAAGATAGATTATTATACTCATGGATCCGAAGAGAAGGGGGCACACCGTGTCATGGGGAAGGAGGGGGGGCACGCGGGTAGCCACCAAGGCTGGTCAGAGGCAGAGGGAGAAGGGAAAATGTGGGCAAAAGCCTTTATTGTGGTTTCTCTGGGAAGAAACAGGTGAGTCGAACTAAGCAGGATTAGAATTGAATTGACCAATTTGAATCATTTCAGGAGGCTTTGGGGATTAGGGGCTGTCTTAATTGTGTGGTACCTGGACCTAGGGTGATGGGGGGGCAATAGTAGCCCTAAGGGTGAGAGGCATAGAGGAGGTGGTTGGATGAGCTCTGGATTGATTAGTTTGTATTGACTGGGGAGTAAACAGCTGGAGGGTGAGTTGTTTACTACATCTAGGAATTGGCTAGCCCTGGGAGGGCCAGTCCCTCCAGGGTCAGCAAGTTCATGATGTTAAAGAATCAAAATAAGGGACACCTGGGTGGCTCAGTCGGTTAAGTGTCTGCCTTTGGCTCCAGGTATGATCCCAGGGTCCTCGGATCGAGCCCCACATCGGACTCCCTGCTCAGTGGGAGGCCTGCTTCTCTCTCTGCGTGTCACTCCCCATGCTTGTGTGAGCTCTTTCTCTCCCTCTGTCTCTCTGACAAATAAATAAATATTATCTTTAAAAAAAAAAAGACTGGAAATTCGGCTAAAAGATCTAAGTGCTTGACTCCAAATGCTTAAAAAAAAAAATTAAAATACAAAAGAAGGAAAAAGGCATGCTTAATATGGTACAGTACCTGTATCTGGCAAAGGAATTTATATATCACCATTAGAGTTTCTCAACTTTTATTGTGCTATGAGAGTACATGTAAAAAATATTTTTGTTTGCATCACTAAGCGTTCTGGAACAAAGCAAGACTTTCTGGGCACAAATAAATTATCTCACTGGCTAAGGAAGTGCTTGTTTTCATTTTCTTTCACAACAGTTTTCTAGAAAGTTATTGGGGGGCAGGAACCAAGTTGTCTCTGAATTCAGTTGGACAAACAGTGTGGATAGAAGCTGAAATACTTCCTGGTTGATTTCTCCTACTCTGTCCTGCTTAAAGGCAAGTGTGGGTTAACAAGAAGAAAAGGTTGTGCAAACAGCTCAAGGGAGTTCAAAGACTGGAAAGAGTTGATAAAGCTAATTTTAGAAAATGTCAAGGACAAAGGAAAGAGTGACTAGGGGCCATGGAACTGAAGAGGGTGGAGAAACCATGAGGGGAATTACCTTCCCCAAGGTTCTACGCGAAGGAAGAGGCTCTCCTAAGCACTCACTGTTTCGGTTTCACTGAGCTAAAGGAGCAGAAACATCGGATAGAGCCGAAAGTCAATTTCTTCTTTATGTCCAGAAGCTTTAATAAAGGCCATTGTAAGACAAAGCTGAGCATGAGCCAGTAGAGAAGGCCTTTCTTTGCCATCAAAATACTCCCAGTTATTTTCTGTCACTGGAGAAAAGCCCCATGGATTCTAACGCCTAGCAGTGCCAGGAGCTGGCTGGAAGACTAGAGTCACAGAAAGGCCCCGAACAGCCCAGGACTCCAGATGAAAGCCTCTTTGGAGGCTTGGGGAGAAACTGACTGGATTAACCAAGAATTATTAACAGTGGAAGTGAGCAAGAAGGGTATCAGTTTTTCCCCTAGAACCTTTTATTTAAGTCTGGCTTGAAACAGTGTCCTTCCTACCTGTTTTCTTAATTGTAATTGCAGGGTGATTAATTTTAATGCTTTTACATATTAACACATGTTTTCCATGCTGAATTATCTGAAATTATGTGTTCATTTTACACAAACCAAAACCTGTGAAGTAACAGAAAGAGATTGAGGATGTTTTTGAGGACAATAATTATATAATGTCAGGCTCTGGATACTTAGCACAGTCCAGTGTCCATTAAAAATACTGGATTTGTGGATTGTTATTACTGAAATGAGTACTTTCAGTAGTTGATAGTGCTACAATACCTAACTTCTTTTTTTTAAGATTTTATTTTAGAGAGAGAGAGCAAGTATAGGGGGGAAGAGCAGAGGGAGACTCCATGCTGAGCACAGATCCTGACCTGGGGCTCCATCTCAGGACCCTGAGATCATGACCTGAGCTGAAACCAAGAGTCAGACGCTTAACCGCCTGAACCACCCAGGCACCGCAGAATACCTAACTTCTAAGTGGACTGTAGCAATGAACATATTAAAACCAGCCATAGTATGTCAAATCAACACATTTTTCCTTGATTTGCATATATCAAATTCCGTATATATGCAACATAAGTTATTCAGATGTTCCAAGGCATAAGAAAGATGCTTTCAAGAATTTACAGATGCAGGGGTGCCTGGGTGTCTCATTCGGTTAAGTGTCTGCCTCCGGCCCAGGTCATGGTGTCAGGGTCTTGGGATCGAGCCCCACGTCAGGCTCCCTGCTTAGCAGGGAGCCTGCTTCTCCTCCTCCCACTCTTGCTCTCTCTCTGTACCTCTGTCTCTGTTTCTGTCTCTCTCTCAAATAAAAAAAAAAAAAAGAATTTACATGCAGTCTAAAAAATGTAAAATCATGACACACTCATCTTCTGCCCTGGAAGGATGATAAAGAAGTCAGGCATTTGGCTTCACATTGTAGCATTCATTCTTTAGAATTGAAGGCAGCAAAGGGCCAGAAGGGCAGCATGTGACCTGCCAGTTTCCTTTAGAATGTCAGCATTCCCCGAGTTCCCACACCTCCAGTGGGACATTCCTGCTATCATGCCTTGGAATGTAGAACGCAGACACGCCACCTTCTGTTTCTCTCTGCCACGCTTCCTCCACGCACAGCCACCCGCCTCGGTTCCCAGCGCCTACCCTGTAGCTTTTGTCTGATGTTGACTGAGTGTCCAGCACCCTGGTGGTGTGGAGAATCCAGCACACCACCAGGGTAGGAGATACAGTCTCCGTGCTTCAAAATAAGACTCAGGCTCTCTGGGTTCAAACTCTTCATTTACTAACTTGCAGTCTTGAGCGAGATGGTTGGTTTTTCCAAGCCTCATTTTCCTCATTCATAGAATGGGTATAATACTTGAATTGTTGTAAAAATTAAATGGATTAGTCACATGGTAAGTGCTTAAGAAATGTTGGCTGTTAAATGAGATAATGAATATTAAGTAGCTGGCATATAGGAAGCAGAGGTACCCCAATTCTCCCTTCCCAGCTCCCGTGACCTCTTGCCATCTTAGTGATCCCCTAGGTAGCGTTGTAACAGAGTTTATCGTATTTGTATTGGTGTCTCTCATGGGATGGTCAGCTCTTTGAGGGCTGGGAGTTTATAGGATATAAGGCTCACATGCCCAAGTTGCCAAGTACATTCTAAATGTTTAATGTGTTTTGGATTAGGAAGAGTATTTTGGGGATGATGTGCCTCCATTCAAAGGGATAACACACCAGTCATTCCTCCCTTAGAACATGCCAGCAGACTTCCATTTATTCACTGTTGGAAATAAAGCTTCATCCTATTGGATTAGCAGTAGAAGTTAAAAGCAAAATTAGGCACAGAGCTGTGAAGGGATGCATCATCAGTCTTAGGCCTGACAGAGAAAAATGGGACCCCAGCTTCCAGGCATTTCTGTTTCAGATTCCAACTAGATCACCTAGGGGTTGTTGAACGCTCTCATACTACTATGTCCAGGTGACTGACCCTCCCTGATTTGGCACTAAAAGTCTCATGTCCTGGGAAAATTCTCGGTCCCTGGCAAACTGGGACAGTGGGTCACCCTTTCAGGCCTCAGAGTGGGAATACAATTTGGAATTCAGAAGCTGGGAAGAGGTCACTCTGGCCAACCCAGTGATGAGGGCTTGCCTCATGGCTCCCACTGGGACCTGCTGGTCAGCAGCAGCCTGGGAACTCATTTCATCTGGTCTCCAACAGGGAGGGGGGACTGGAGCACAGACACAGACGTGACAGATGAGCCATTTCTCATGTAAGTGCAACAGCTGAAGATG